TATGGTGCGAAACAATAAAAACCTTTCTTTGTAAAAGTTAACTCACCATGTTCCCCTTTCTTGTAGCATAAAATAAGTAATAAGTTAGTTGTAAGAAAAAAAGAAAAAAAATAAGGGGAGAGAAAAGGGAACTCTAAGTTAAAAAATATATATATTATAAAGGCAACAGTAATAAAAATGTACTCTAAAAAATGGGAGAGAGAAAAAAGAGAAAGAGAAAAAAATAAATATACTAATTATATTAATAATAATAATAATAATAACATTAAAATAGTAATAATACGAGTAATTATATTAATGTACAACACACATAAATAGACAGCTACACATGTCTGTCCATGTGTGGGTGCGTATATCTATATATATTCACATATGCATAGGTGTGTAAGCACATGTATGAGAAATAAATAATATAATAGACGCATTGATATTAGGAATGGTAATAATAAAATAAAAAGTTCTAGAGTTAGGAAGAACCACGAAGCATTGAAAGCAAACCACGCTTGAAGACACACGCTTCCAAAAGCCATCGCATTCACACACACAGTAAAAAAAATTGATTGTTACAGCTACACCAATATGAGGGCCGCCTGATCATCATCTCATTCCAATCAAAAAAAAAAAGAGAGGCGAACAGTGAAGGAAACGTTTTTGCAGTACCACACTAACATATGTCACGATAACGCTTGACGTTAAGAGTAAACAAGCACGTTTCGCAACCACTACATACTCATGAGCGATATTAGAAGAGCAATAAAACTATTTTAAACCAAAGATTTCAGCCAGGCGATAAAAACCTTCAGAAATTGGATGATCATGCGACCGCCATAAAATTTGAAACCGATTGCACTGTTTTTCTTTGCCATAAGTCTCGCGCTCGCTCTTGGTTCCGTTCACATATACATACATATTCTATGTATGTATCTGTTCACCTCATACATTTGTGCAACTTCAAGGTTTCATATTCATCTAAAAGGTTTGCATTCAAACACAAGCTAAATTAAAGCATTTGATCGTCAATTGCAATACTATAATGCTGAGACATCAACCCGGAGACAAATTTCTGCGACAACTTTGATGTATCACTCCTACAGTGAGACCTATATATCAAAGAGGAAACGATAACTTTAAAATCTGGCAAATGTGCTTTTCCAAGCTGTCAGCCGAGCAGCAAGAAACATATATGAGTCTCCCGCATCATCACTTGATTCACTGCACATCGGCCTATAACCAGCGAGCATGCACGTGCTGTGGCGTCACTATCATACGAATTCGACCCGCCTCACTAAGCCGAGAATGTGTCGAAGGATATATAAACGCAAATAAGACACTTTTGGAAGTCGGATGGGGAATAGCAGTAACAACCAGCACATCGTAACACAGGCTAAAAGAGCCTCTTCCGGTAAAGGATTGACAATCATGTGCGACAAAATTTCTTCTCTAACATCTTTCTCTTATTTTCTTAATAATATTAATGCATAAGACTCTGTAATATTACTGCTAGCGCGTGTCTGTCGTAAGGAAAAACAGTGTATGAGACACATCGCCAGACTTAAAAATGCAAGCAAACCAATTTTTCTGTAATTAAGCTTGAATAATAACATTTCCTCTACTCCTTTTTAAGAAAGCGAATTGCAAACAGAAGGGAACCTCAATTTTCTTTTTGCAAATGTTGTACACCCCCAACATTTGTCTAACGCAGGGGGTGTTACGTCCTGGACTTTACGGTCCTCTTCTGTTTGGAATTAGACATAAACTAGCTTTAAGATTTGCGCCTTAAAATTAATTTTTAACTAACAATATTTGAGCAGAGAACAAAGGACCTATTGAACTAAGATAAACAAACCCGTATTGCAATTTTTTATCTAATCACTCTTACCGACTTTCAAATGAATACCGGTCAATTAATCAACAAGTAGCCCGAATGTTTGGTTCGCGAATATAAACTTAGATAATTTAGGCGGTCCGCTAATCTCTAGCAAGGAATGTTATGGCACCGAAAATAAACAGGAAATTGCACGTGCAGATAATAAAGTATAAACAAATGTTGAGTGAGTCCGAAAGAATGATTGTCGATGATTGGTCCTCTCGCCTGATCAAATTAGCAAATGAAAGATCGAAATTTTAATCAGTAAAAAGTGGGAGCGTAAAATCTAAAGACGATTGGCAAAAATCAGAAGGGTTAACGCTCCGAGATCATCATATATAAGGCGTTGGAACATCGGAGAGCCGGAGCTCCTTAACCAGCATTACGATTATTAACACAGTTTTATTCCTTTTCGTGCAATTTAACAATTTAACTTAGAGTCAATTTGGTCATACAAAAAGATACTCGCTTTTCCTGTTCGGTCTGAAATTCGACAATCCAACGATTCTTACTTTGACATCAATCTTGGCACGTAAATCCGAATGAACAGTGCAATTCGTGACAACTTCTATCGGAGGAGACGACCAATTCATCCCACCTGAGTCCAGCTGACACACTCCTGACTTTTGGGCAAAGCGAATCAATCACTCATCTCGACATTCTACCGTAAACAAGAAGTAGTGAGTATTTACTCATGCAATAGTTTTGCAAAACAAATCTAAGGTTCCCACGCACACAGTAAAACTTTCTTCGAGACGGTTGGTATTCGAAAAAAAAGATTACATTTGACAATTCAATTAATAACTGCTTCATTTAGTAAGCTCTTCTCCTCGACATCCTAGTCGGCCTAGCTGTTCACGACCTTGTGTCGTTCCGAACACCTGCCGATTTCCTTTCAATCGGACTAGCTGTTCACGACCTTGTGTCGTTCCGAACAACTGCCGATTTCCTTACAGTCGGACTAGCTGTTCACGACCTTGTGTCGTTCCGAACAACTGCCGATTTTCTTTCAGTCGGACTAGCTGTTTACGACCTTGTGTCGTTCCGAACAACTACCGATTTCCAATCACCACTGTCAAACTTTGAGTAGCAAATTATATGTAGTTGTCATACCGCTCCGAAAAACAACGGTGATTTTAACAGTGCAATATCCGAAACCGAACTTTGCGGCGGAGAACTGCTGCCCGTCAAGCGAGCTGACCGAAGCGTACCAACTCCCGTCTATCCGGCAATAGCCTAAATAGTGACGGTGCTCATTTATATAAGGATTTTAAATATTGAAAATACTAATAGTAATGTTAATAACAAACTCCCAGAATTAAAAATAATAACAATGCCACAGTATATCCAAATTCACACCGAACTTCATCACATGTCCAATTATTTAATTTAACTTGCGTAAGAATATTTTTTGAATAAATCTAAATGTTAATATTTTGAATAAAAATGATTTATATGCTCATAAGAATAAAAACGGCTTCAACTAATTAAATGAACGTTTGAACTTCTATCCTGAAAACTCATTCCTGTAATCTCATCACGTGATCACCAGGTCCTGTCGCAGGTAAATTAGATTTGTTTCTAAGACCTAAAAAAGGACCGACGAGTGAGAAGACGTTAGACAAGTAATATCGGCAAGTCCGTTGACTTGACTACGTCGTTGAACAGTCTCGCTCGACTCGCATGTTTGCCTTACTTCATTAGGTCAGTGTTCCGAGATATAATACACAAAATTGTCGTGTGTCAAGTTGCGTTCCTCCGTTAGGACCCGACCGTAACCGTAGGTCAGGTCATCTATATATATACAGGGTCATCGAAAAATATTGGACCCCCCTAATATCTTCAGTTAGAATGCATTTTGGAGAAAATGTCAAAATTGTATGGTTTCAAGCAAAGAGTAAGATGATGACCTTGACTTTGATTTTGATCTTGATCCTCCTTGAGCAGGAGACTGTGGACGACGGTAGTGCTCAAAAGAATATACAGCCAAGTACGGTTCGTCGATTCTCTTTTGAAGATGAAGAATCCGATTTGTCTGAGAGAGAGAGAGAGAAAGAGAGAGAGAGAAAGAAAGAGAGAGAGAGAAGAGGAATGAGATAAGGGATCCAGATGCTATCCTGGAACTCAGTGACGACGTATTCGAGACTCCACTGAATGAGATTGAGACGCGGCAAGAATTTAGCAACGCAAAAGTCAGGCGGGTGACCACGCGAACTGCTGGAGCAACGACGCGGAACAAGAGGAAAGCCAGCGATAATATCTTCTCAAAAAAGAACGTGTACGATAGCAGCAGGTATCAGTCGGCAGAAATAGTTGCTGCTACTATCAAGGAGAATGCCGATATGATTGAAAATGTCCGAGCTAAGAGCGAAAATCTTAACGGACCCTTATTGCATACTATCAAGCTGAGTGTGCAAAGAGTTAAATTAGCGGCGGCAGACTTGGCTACTTGATGCGAGTTGACAGGTGACTCTTCTCGTACCTGCACATGAGGGAGGCTGAGAGAGCTGCTCAGAGAGACCAAGGAGCTTAAAGCCGAAAACAACATGCTTCGTGAGCAGTTCAAGGTGTTAAAATAGGAGCTCCGGCAATTTAGGCAGGATGTGCATGACGGCAAGATTGGGGTCGGGGTGAGATCGCCGAGGTTGATAATTAAACCGACCAGGAACATCGCGACGTCCTCTCTCGATTCATGCGTTACCCAGCTGTGTCTTTGCCGGCTGGTAGTAGAGCGAACGCGGGGACACAGCCGGGTGGCTTGCGGGGACTCTCTGTCCCTTTGATTGATAGAGGATCACTTACTCGAGTTGAAGAGGACAGGCCGGTTCTAACTGGTGGGACTTAAAACATGCGGCTCCAATCTATGCGGCCATTAATGAAAAACTCTAGAGAACGCCTCACCTCAGAAGAGGATAGAGGCATCCAGGAAAGGATTGAGCCACGGTCACCTAGATCCCGGCGGCAATGACACCTGCGACGCCTTACTTCAGAGAAGGAGAGGAGGGTTTCCGATGTACCAGCCACTCAGAGTGACACGGAGTGGTCCGTTGTGGGCCCTAGGAGACGCGGGCGGGGTCGTCTGCGGAGCCATAAGCGGGCAAGCGCGAATCCCCCGGTGATAAGACAGCCACCCATGGGTGCGCAAAAAAGTCAACGCCTCCCCTGCACATGTCCGCCTTGCTCGGCTGAGGTGGCCATCGGAGTACCAGACGGTAAGGTGTCGTACGCCGAAGTCATGAAAAAAGCTCGACGTGAGGTAAACCTTGAGCAGCTCGACTTGTGGGATACGAGGATACAAAAGGATGTTTCCGGGGGTTTGCTCATACAGATTCCTGGCAATAGAGGTAAGGAGAAAGCGCGTCAGCTTCAGGATAAGCTGCAAAAGGTCCTCGGCCAAGATGCTAGGGTAACGGTTCCGTCGAAACGTGCTGAATTGCGCATTATAAATTTCAATGACTTGGTGACCGACTCTGAGGTCGTTAATTAGGTTGCGATGGTGGGTGGATGCAATAGCAGCGACATCAAGGCAGGCCCTAGTAAACCTATGATAAACGGGATGTATGCTATTTGGCTCCAGTGCCCGGTTGATGCGGTCCAGGCTTTGGTAAAATTGGGCCGGATAAGACTTGAGTGGACCTTGGAAAAAGTTGTGTTGCTTCCTTCTAGAAGGCTGTAGTGCTATTGCTGCTTAGAATTTGGACATGTGAGGTCTATGTGCTCGAGTGAGGTGAACAGGAGCAATCTGTGTTACAGATGCGGAGAAACGGGACACAAAGCCATGGCTTGTGCCAGCCGTGTACGGTGTCCTCCTCGCATGGCCTGACATCCGACCACAGAGTTGGCACGGACTAATGCGCTGCGAGAAAAATCGGCGGCTTTCAGATTAGTCGTTTGACTCTTGCTGAAAAAATGGGTGCAGCAAATATCCGCAGAGAAACATTAGCTCCATCTGGGACAACAGAATCTGCCGGTGGAGGCTCGTCAGAGGGTGAAGACCATACAATCATGGAAACATGTTAGTTGTCCAGCTTAATGTCAACCATTCCCGGGCGGCACAAGATTTGCTCATTCAACGTATGGTAGAGACTGGAGCTGGGTTGGCATGTATCGCCGAGCCATACATAGTCCCCGAATCACATCTATGGTTCGGAGACTTAGACAGCACGGCTGCAATTTACTGGTCTCCACAGAAGTGCAGGATGGAGGTCCGCCTAATAGGGAATAGTAGAGGCTATGTTGGGATCAGGATAAGAGGTTGGCGGATGTACAGTGTTTACCTCCCTTCCAACAAACGCCGGTTGGATCTAGAAAATCGCTTGGACAGACTGGCTGACAGTGTCCGAAGAACAGGCCCGTCTCCTTTTATTATCATGGGAGACTTTAATGCGGCCTTGATTAGCTGGGGTTCGAGGCACACCAACCTGCGTGGAAAGATGGTGGAGGATTGGGCAGCCTCCTTAATTTAGTTCTCCTTAATGTGCACTTCCCTCACATATATTTCGGCTCAAGGTACTTCTATTGTAGATTTAACTTGGTGCAGTCCTAACATGGCGAATAGGATGAACAATTGGAGGGTTGCCGTTGACACTGAGACCCTGTCTGATCATTCTCTTGTCGAGGTTGAGTTGAGACAGCCTGCTGTTACAGAAGCAAATGGCTGCAAAGAAAGAAGGCAAGTAACCTTTCCGAGGTGGTCGCTGAAAAATATGAATTGGGACCTATTGAAGGCGGCCATAGCTCTTAAAGATTGACTCTGCCCGCAGCCGGTATTCTGTGATCCAGAGGAAGCGGCAGTTTAAATGGCCAAACTCCTGGAAGAAGCCTGCGATGTTGCGGCCCCTCGCGTTAAAAAGTTTCCAAGGAAACGCCAGACGTACTGGTAAAACGGAGAATTCTCCGAGAGCTGTAAAGAGTGTATTGCCTTAAGGCGCAAAATGGTCGAATTCCGTAGGCGGAGGAATACTGTTGACGCGGAGATTTCTAGGGTTGACTTGCGGCATGCACAACGTAAGTTTAGAGCTATGATAGCTGATTCTAAAGAAAAGGCCTTGAAAGAACTCTTTGCGTCGTTACAGCAGGACCCATGGCGTAGGCCGTATCGCCTGATCTTAAAGCGGCTGAGAGGCTCTGCAACTGTTGTCACTGAATCCCTAGAGCGTCACGAACTAGAGGGCGTAATTAATGGCCTTTTTCCTCAGCACATTAATGCTGAGGGGGAGCGTGTGGATGCGCCCCTAGTCGAGAGTGGAAGTGACCTAATCACCCTAGACGAAATCAGGTCCGCAGTGAAGGATATTAAGAATCGGGGTTCGGCACCGGGCCCGGACGGAGTTCCGATAGGCGTGATTTTGACTATGCTGACTGCTGTCCCGGATCGTCTCTTGAGATGTTTTAATGCGTGCCTACAACAAAGACGCTTCTCAAATTGCTGGAAGGTTGCCCGACTTGTATTAATTCCAAAGACAGGTAAAAAACCTGAGATGGCGGCGTCTTACCGACCACTATGGCTACTGAGCAATGTTGGTAAAATGTTCGAGCGTATTATTGCAAAGAGAATAGCGTTGCATGTGGAAAAACGCGGTGGGTTTTCGGCCCGATAATTTGGCTTCTGCACAGGGAAATCGACTAATGACGCAGTGATGGCCCTGAGAGGTTTTGCATTTTCCTATACGGAAAATAAGAGAGTTTGTATGGCTTAACATTAAGAACGCTTTTATCTCGCTTCCGTGGCCGGCGATCCGGGATGCAACGGTGATATGGAGATTGCCTGAGTATCTTAAGTGTGTTATAACGAATTACCTAAAAGCAACATACATTACGCCGCTTCTTCTTCCCTGCCTTCTGGGGTGATTCTCCCGCAGGAGGAGCCCCAGGGGCAGGTCGGGCCGCTGGGGCCGAGGTCCCAGACGATCCCGCCGCCTTCTGCTTGGCCTTGCGACCAACCACCTTGGACCACGTGTCCGCTTCCTTTGGGGTTGATGAACCCGGGTCCACAAATCTCTGCGGCGCTCGGGAAGACGGAGTAGCCGAAGGGCGGGTACCGGGCTTGGCCGTGTATCCCGCCATCCTCCGCCCAGAAACCGAGCGCGCACGCGCACCCGCCCCTTTGCGAGTGCACAGGGTTCTCTCACTCGCCCGTCCCGCCGCCGGAGCAGGAGATACAAACGCGGCGAGTTTGGCGTCGATGAGGGCGCCGATCTTCTCGAGGAGATCGTCGGACACCCCCATCGACGTCGTCACTGGAGAGGGAGGAGGCGGCATACGGACTTTGGCTTGCAAAACAGCCACCTCTCCCCTGAGGAGCCTGACTTATAGCCTAAGTTTTCTATTTTCCTTATAGACTTGGGAGAGGACCGGTGCTGTCATCGCCGCCAGGTTATCCTTGAGACGGCCGTAAAGTGCATCCGCAATCCAACGCCCGTCTTGGCCTGCCTCTTAACATCAGTGCTTTTAAAACGCTTGGCACGTGTGGCCACCTCGTTGCAAACCCTGACAACTTTATATATAAGATCGACGAGGTCCAGCGCAGAGCGCATCTTACATTTGTGCTCGACGTCGCTTCTCTCCACCGTGAGACACGTCCGGCGGAGACGTCGAGTGGATTCCGTGTCGGAGGCGCGACCCGACTCCGACCCGGACGCGGAGTGCCTCTTAGTGGGTTCCCCCGCCGCGGTTTCCGCCGCCTGCCTTTTCTGCGCTAAACGCGCATTGCGTAGCGCATCTTGGGCCCTTCCAAGGCCGATGAACTGGCCATGCGTAGGAGGGCGACCGCGCCTATTCGGCTTTGCAAGCTGGGCTGCCGCCCATGCTGCAAGCTCCTCCTCATTAGACGGCGGATGAGTGGATGCCTCGTCTCCAGAGGATGTTGTCCCCATCCGGTAGGGGCGCATTGAGAGACTCTAGAGATGTTCTAGAGTCAGTCGAGGTAATAGACGCCGATGAGTCCACTTTCCTCAATACCATTCGTGGGATCGCACGCCTTCTCGGGCAAACCGGACGCTGCTCGTCCGTCTTTGTAGACGCAGTGTAGATAGAGGAGCTTGCGGTGCACTCTTTCACCCGCCCGTCGTTGGATTACGACGCGGGGGCACCCGAAACACTAGCCCCCCCACGCCGGGACCTGGCCGTCCGGTCGACCTGGTCCGGTAACTCCATACTTGTCTTCTTGTTCTGCTCCATTGTGGTAAAAAAACGGTTTTATATCGGTCTTGGACTTGATCTAGGTTGGTTGCCGTAACCTGGCTAACGAGCCTGACCTGCCTGGGTTTGAGATCGGGGTTTTCTTTCCCCTAAACACACTCTTAGTCTGGCCGCTCACTGAGGACCTGTCCGGCAAGGGAGACCAGGAACCAAAGTTCTCGCCGGCATAGCTCCTCAGATCATCACGGCACTCAAGCTCGGGAACTACTACAAGACGATGTGCCACTCCCGAGAGACATTGTCATTTACCTTTATATATAATTACAAGACAGAGTATCTAATTTTAGCATAAATATTTATACTGTTGTGCGGCAGTTTTAGAGTAAAACAAAAGTAAAGTGAGGCCATTGAGCAATGTGACATCACTGTCATTGCTCAATGACCTAGTTACGTTGCGGGAAAGCAGCCCGGCCGATTTCCCTCCACCTTGTCGTGGTGGCCGGGCTTAGAGAAACTATGATCCGGGGAGCCATGCCGGCGGGGACTCCTTTGAGTCCCTGGTAGGGTCACCCATGCTCGGAAGGGCCTCTGGTGAGTTTTTGAACTAAGAGAGGAAATAGAGGAAGGAAAACCTTGAACAAAAACCCGGAGTTCTCAGCTCTGTTAGCCCCTAAAAACGGGGACACCTGGAATAGGGGAGTAAACCCTGACTTCAAATCCGGGCAGGTTGGGCTCGTCAGACTTGGATGTCAACTGGCCTCTAGGAGAAGGAAAACTCCAAAAATAAACCACTCTTCTAAAAATTAATGATGAGTAGTTCAGAAGAAGAGAGAAACGTACCGGCCCAGAGTGATCGGACACTCAGGGCCCGGCGTGGGGGTGTTGCCGTCCCAGGCACCCCCATGTCGTTATCTCGTGATGGGCTACCCTCCGCCTGCACCGCAGGGGTGGAAGGCGAACCTACTACTGCGAAGAAGCGCCAGGACATACTTGCCATGGGGGCAAGAAAAAACTTGCCTCCGTTCGGGGCGCAAGTCTCCCTTACGAGGGTAAGCGTGGGTGGCGCTGCTCCTAAGGGAGACGCAAAGAAGAAGCCGGCGAGTGAGCGCTCTCGCTCCCCGACACTCGCCGGCTTGTCCGGATCCCCACCTCCATCTGGGGACTCGAACATGGAGGTGCAGGAGGACGCCTCCACACCGGTTCCCAGTACAAGTGGGGGCGTGGGAAAACCGCCGACCGCCGGCGAGTTTTTCGGTGTTGTTGCGGCCGAGGAGCGTGCCTCAGCTGCAAGGCGAGCAGAGGCNCCGGCGAGTTTCTTGGCATCGTCGCAGCCGAAGAGCGTGCTTCGGCTGCAAGGCGAGCGGAGGCGGTTCTTGAGCTGGAGGACGAATACTGGCGCGACACCGCCCAGCTGCCGTCTTCCAGGTTCCCGTGCCCGGTTGCCTCCGCGGCGGAGATGGTGCAGAAGACGCACACAGCCGCGGAGGCCGTGATGAAGGTTGCCACCACGTCCAAAATTCTTCACGGTCGTTATGT